AAAAAAAAAAAAAAAGAAATTGGAAAAAGGAAGATGGTGAAATTGAAGAAGCTACATTTGTGAATTATTTAGAGATAAAGAATTAATGAACCAAGCTGTTCATTAAAGCGGTTTGATTTTATGTAGTTTTAAATTTATTATCTTGATGTGTCTGTGCCTCTGTCATTTATTTGCACACTGAAATACTCTGATGCTTTGTACTACAGCAATCATGGTTTTAACCCTTAACTGTAGTTACAGTTAATTTTCCAGATTCTCCAATTTCCACCGTCCCATTTTTGCTGCCACCAATTTTACCCTCTTCCCTTTTCCTCTATTAATTTTTGTTAGTTGTATTAGTTTGATTCGATATATACTTTTGATTTTTTCTTTTTGTTGGTGAAAGAAAGTTACTGAATTAAGTAAAAGATTTTTTAATATAAAATGATATGATATAATGAATATTATTTTGATATAATATTATTTATTTTGTTGCCACCAATGATATGATTTTTTTTATAAAAGAATGATTGATAATTGTTCTAAATACGATAAAGAGAAATACTATAGGTACATAATATGTACACAGAGGTGTACATAACACTCACATTTAGTGGGTCATAGTTATGTAGACCTCTATATACATTTATTATGTATTTTTAACATTTTTCATAGATAAATAATAGTAATGTTATATATAAGTGCGTAAATGATGTGTTTTTAGTTTAAAAATTATATGGAAAAATATGAGTGAAGAAAAGAGAGTAAGGTAATAGTAATATGGATGAATTTATATTTATGTTTTAGTTTTTTTATCACAAACTAGTGTATATCCCGTGCGATGCACGGAAGAGTTCATATTTTAAATATTTTTTAGATTTTATTTTAAATATAATTATTTATATTTTTCACATCTCGTCTATTATGAAAATAAAATAAATACAATCAATGAAAAATATATAATATTAAATACTTTTCTTTATACAATATTTTTTATTTAAGGAATATTATTAAACCTTACGGTTTTGATTTGTTCTTTTAAATCAATAATCCAAAATATATGATTGTTAACGTACAAAAAATAATAGAAATAATCCAGACTTTAAAGTAAAGCTATTATTTATTATTTTATAAATAAAAATCTTCCAATTTTTTTTTTTAATTTCAAAAAAAAATTGGCAAGTTTGATAATGAGTTAAATCAAGTTATACAAATGATTAAATAGTTAAAATGTTATATTTTATTATATTTTAAGAAATCCGATTATATAAAAATGGGTAAAAAAAACATTATACTAATTAGTTTGTTAGGATTGTGATTATATGGAAGTTAAAATAAAATGAAATTTAACCAAAAAATTTGTTCGTGGTTTTTTCCTAAATGTTTGAATTTAAAATCTAGTAACCAAATTTACATTATATCACGTAAGGAAAAAAATAAATAATAAATATTTATTAAAGAGATAAATCAATAATATTTATCACTTAGATAATAAATAATAAATATTTACATGTAAAAAAATAAATAATAATATATTTAAAAATATAAGTCAGAATTTCAAATAAAGTAAAAGGAGGGATAATTCATTTTTTAAAAAAGTTTCTAAATATTTAATATATTGATAAGTATCTCCATAAGAATAATCATACCATTTTAATTTTAAAAAAATTGGCAAGTTTGTTAGAGAGATAAATCCGGTTAGACAAATGATTAATTTGTTAAGATATTATATTAATTGTATCATAAAAAATCGGTTAGATAATGTAGATAAAAAAATATAATACTAATTAGTTTGTTAAAAATGTGATAATAAAAACCAAGATAAAATGAAATTTACCCAAAAAAATTGTTTGGAATCTTTTCCTTTAAATGTTTGAATTTACAAATTTAATACCGAAATTCTATTATATCACATAAGGAAAAAATAAATAATAAACGTTTATTAATATATTAAAATATGTAATTTTGAATTTCATATAAAGTAAAAGGTATGCTTATTCAAATTCATTTTTAAAATAAAAGTTATGATAAACATTTATTGATTCTCTTTCAAATATATTAATAAAATAAAAATATAAATCTAAACAAATTTTAAAACAACCAAAAAAATCGGATTGATTGGCATAAAAAAGGAAGTGAAATCGGATTTGAATGCTAAAATCGGAACACCTTACCAAATTGAATGCTAAAAGATTCGATTTGATTGGTTACCTAATTGCATGGGCTGAAAAAATTAAAAAAAAAAATTTACGAATTGAAAAAGCGGGAAAAACACTATATTGAAGCGGAAAAACGAAATGATTATTTTCGAATTGTTCAAATAATTTTTCTTCTCCGTATTATATAGTAATAGATGTNG